TTTCTAAAAGGTATCTTTACGCAGAACGCTTTGGTGTAAAAAACTTGTCCTATTTTTTGAAAATGTTGCCACTGCGTCCTTCCGAATATGACCTATCTTTTATCAAAACTTCAACTTTGGGCGACATGTTCTAAAATCCCAAAGCTGGGATCAGAAAACTGAAAGCAGTTTTGGAAACCTCAATATGTTTTCTATTTACTCCAAAAGTATTTTCCCAGCCCTGAAAGAAATGTGGACCCTATGGGCAAAAAAGTAAAAATCCCATTTTTGGGATTTTCATTCCTATTTTTGGGAATTGCGGGATGCCCTTTGACCTTTTCAATTTTTTTTTTGCATATTCTTATTTGAAATGACAAATTTAACAAGCGTTGAAAATTTCATTGAGTTTTGTTCATAAATAAAGATTTTGTCATATATTACATATTTGTTTAATTTCTAAAACTATGATTTATATCAAAATTTTAATAGGATCGCAGATAGCTACAACAATTTAGTCCATATTTATCCCTTAATATCATTTTTTAGTTAGATATGGAAATTCTCGACCCTTTACAAAAAATTTCAAGCCAATATCTCAATTACATTCAAAAATATGTTCATTTAAACCTGTGTCCTTTAATTTCATCTTTTTCATATTTTAGTATTAAGTATGACAGAACATACATTTGGTGTTGAATAAAATATTTTTAAAAATTATTTAGTTAATTATTTTATTAAAGACTATAACATTGTATATACAATAAAAAAATATAATTTTATTATGAGCCACGCACAACAACACCTAAATCACCCCACACAAACCACCTTTCCCGCCCACCGAAATATAAAACACAATTTAATACAATATCATCAGTTAGTATAATAGCTTTTTTATTTGAACTGTTTATCTTAAACATAATACAATTAATTCTTACAACCTACTTATATAGTTAATTCCTAACACTACTTATTTTCTATAAAATAATCTGTCATATCGGTATACATATCCAGAAGGTAATATAAGTCCTTTAAATTTTCCTCGTTTTGAGATGATAGAGTTTCATAACAAATCCATCTTTTTCGTATAGTTGAAAGAACAGGATCAGAAGATAGAAGTAAACTATTAAGAATATCTTCATTCTGTGATTGCCTGGAGCATTTTCTTGAGCTGAAAAGTTGAACATGCTTAAAATCTCGATTCCTCGCTTCCTGGGCTTCTTCTGTTAACTCTCCAAGTGGAAGAATATTCGATTCAATTATTATTTGACCATGACACAATACTTTGTGTACAGTTGGTGTTAGTTCCCTCCATGGATACAGAGATACAAGTAATTTAGAAATTTCAGATGTATATTCCCCAAATCGATTCCCATTAATTTTATGTTTACTTTTCAGTGCCATTAAAATAGTGTTAACTCTTCGAAGCAACTCCTTGTCGATTCCAGTTATTTTTGAAGTAATTTCAAAATCACGAAAAAACCTTCTCGCCGTATTACCGTCATGTGTACTACCGCAACTTGGAAGTGGTTTGTCGATGTTTAATCCCATCTGAACTTTAAATTCTTCTTGGATTCTGCTTTTTTCCGCAGCTCTCAGTTCTTTCAATTCTTCATTATTTTTTGTTGATTTAGTAAGATTCTCTGGCACACTTCTATATTTGAGGTCGTATGCTATGTGTAAAAAGTAATCCAAAAATCGTATTCTGGCATGAAGTGGTGAAATTCCGAAAGACAGGACTTCTTCATTAATACTTCTGCTTTTGTTTATATTTGAGAATTGCGACTTTTTCTCATTACATATTGAGCATCTCCAGAAGGAAGAAGTTTCTGTTATGGCATTGCTGACCTTTCCATCAATCATTGTTAAGCTTAGCTGATATGATACGTTAATAGAGAATTCCTTTATTTTTATGCAAATGGGCTCCATTGCATTTATTTCATCTTTTAAATATTCCACTTAATCTTTTGTTGTTTTCTTTGACTCCTTTATATATTCAAATCCAATGGGTCTACAAAAATTTTTTGAACCCGGAGTTGTATTGATCCATATATCTTCAAATGAATTTCCGATGCTTGACGATGATGGATTAAGGGAATATGAACGAATTCGTAATGGCACTAATGATGACATAAATACACTTTTGTAGTCTGCTAATATCCGACTTCCACAAGCTTGTTTGTATTCTGGAAGTCACATCCCCACTTACACATTAAGACAACATCATAGTTATGAATTTTCCTTAGTTGGTCTTCTGAAAAGTCTGACACAATTCTTAATGCTGTGTTTTCGAGCAAAGATGATATATCAATACAAGCTTCCACATCATTAACAGCAATAGGTGATGGTAGGATAGTTTGTTTTTTTTCCTGGATCGCCTTGTATGATGGTAATATATTGTGTCCTTTTTCATGCAGAGCTTTCCTTAATATTTGGTACTTATTTCGACTGAGACCCAGTTCCAACATAAGCGCTATTGCTTCCTCTTCAGTAAAATTTGATTGTGATGTTGGAGTTGGTATACTTTCCACAATTCGCTTAAGTCGTTTTGGTGATGCATTAGGAAGAATAGTGGCAATATGTACGGCATCCATAGGTTGGTTTTCCTTTTTCAGCATTTCGTTAAATGTATCAGCAATTTCCTCATTTGAGATTGAAAAAAGTTTTTGTGTGACCCTCTTTTTTTTTGACCTTGAACATAAGTCTTCGTATGACTAGCAAGGCGCTATAAATTATAAATTTCTGAAAATTTAAGCATAATAGGACCTTTCAATTATAAGGATAAGCAAACAAATAGAAAATAGGTAAATATAAGATTTAAACATGTTCTGTCATATTTAATACTAAAATATGAAAAATATGAAATTAAAGGATACAGGTTTAAATGAACATATTTTTGAATGTAATTGAGATATTGGCTTGAAATTTTTTGTAGAGGGTCGAGAATTTCCATATCTAACTAAAAAAAGATATTAAGAGATAAATATGGACTAAATAGTTGTAGCTATCTGCGACCCTATTAAAATTTTGATATAAATCATAGTTTTAGAAATTTAACAAATATGTAATATATGACAAAATCTTTATTTATGAACAAAACTCAATGAAATTTTCAACGCTTGTTAAATTTGTCATTTCAAATAAGAAAATGCAAAAAAATTGAAAAGGTCAAAGGGCATCCCGCAATTCCCAAAAATAGGAATGAAAATCCCAAAAATGGGATTTTTTACATTTTTGCCCATAGGGTCCACATTTCTTTCAGGGCTGGGAAAATACTTTTGGAGTAAATATAAAACATATTGAGGTTTCCAAAACTGCTTTCAGTTTTCTGATCCCAGCTTTGGGATTTTAGAACATGTCGCCCAAAGTTGAAGTTTTGATAAAAAATAGGTCATATTCGGAAGGACGCAGTGGCAACATTTTCAAAAAATAAGACAAGTTTTTTACGCCAAAGCGTTCTGCGTAAAGATACCTTTTAGAAAACTATAAAATTGTTATATATTCTTAATAAAAATTTTATTTTATTAATAAAAGAGTTAAGACACATTTTGGGCAAAAAAACGGCAAAAATCTAAAATTTTTTGAATTTTCAATTAAAAAACGTATATTTTTGGATCTGTAAATGATATTTTTTGTATATTATTGGAAATTTTGTTGTCTAACTAACAAGAAAAAATGAGTCCATTTGGTCCAAAATTACGCCCGGTATTCAAAAAAAGGCGGACCAAGGTATGGTAAATTTTGTATCACTAAATTTTTAAATGCCTATAACTCGGATATTATAAGAGATAAGTAGTATGTCCAACCATGTTCTTTCAAGATCTCGTCGAGCGCTTTCAGAAAATATAAAAATCTTTGTATTTGGGTGAAAAACAAAAAAATGGCACGAGTTTAAAAATTTTACATGTCGTAGGTACCCTACTTTGAGCCGCCACAGCTCCGTCCCTGGGGCATCTGCGGGGTTCATCTTCAAAACTTAAACTCGAATACTCCTTGGCTACGCTCACGCCAAATTTTATCCCGATCGGATCAGCCGTTTAGAAATGCCAGATTTATTTCCAAAAAATTTCCATTCTGCCCCACTGTGTAATGTAAAACAACAATTTATTACTGAATTAAAATGTTTAATTCATATTATTTAGTACCTCTTTTTTATTAAATACCAAACTTTTGGTCTAATGACAAACAGTGAAAATGTTAAAAACCCTTGAATAGCTATGATGATATCCGAAACTACATATAAAAAGTCAAAAATATTCCAGGCTGAAAGTATGTCGAATATCCAAGGAATGCCCAGTATGAGGGATAAACGCAAAATAACAAGTGCACTGTAGGTCAAGTAAAGATGATTAAAGAATTAAATATATATATAGTTTTTAAGTATATAAGGTTGATTTTTATAACATTTTATCAAATGTCCAAAATCTTTCATGTGCAGCACAACTCTTAGTTCGACTCCAGTCGAATTTTACTTACTTCCGTATAAATATATTTTTGTTTCGCTTCAGTCTTGCCGCATCTCGCCTCGTTTTATAGATAATTGTTATTAAACGTATAAATATTACTAAATTGAAAAGTAAAATTATGAGGGATGGTCCATACAAATAAAACACTGCCGACGGTTTTTCAGCTTAAATGATAGAATATAGGTTTAGTTTAAAAATTAGCAATATCGTTAATTTAACATTAATAAAGTTGATTTTTCAGTCAAATTTTTCCTACGAATTCGGAGATAAACTATCTTCTAGAATACCTTATATCTACTGCATCCTCCATTAATAGAATAATGGAATAGGTTATTGATATCATGCCGGTAAGAAACAATGATTCAATAACGATTGATTGAAGAGTAACATTTGAAAGATCTTTTTTCGATCATTATAGAATATTATTCAAGATACAACATACATTAGATATGACGCCGTCCTATAGAACTTAATAGCCCCCACACCATCTCGTACATAAGATAGATTTTGGTCTACCTAGGAGATCTGAACAACTTAGTCAGCTTTCTTTTTCAGAATTTAAGAGGCGCTTTCTACAAATCATATAAGGAGCTACAAGGCCATGTATATATTTCTATGTGACTTACCATTTATAAAACATATCTCCAAACCAACACCGGCCTTAAACATTTCATCCACATTCGGTAATAGGTCTAATAAAATACCAATAGCAGTTGCTAGTCCAGCAGTTAGCCAGACATACAAGGAATATATAATAAACTTCTTGCGATCTTTTCTTAAATTCAATTCAGAATTAATATTATTAAAAGTTTTAGAAATATCATAGCATACAACGCTGAGCCATAAATAGAAAGATAAATTGAAGTAGTAAGCGGTGTAACCTAAAAAAAAAAAACAAATTAAATTAGGTTTTGATTTCACATTATCTAAGGACCGCTTTTGCTGGTAACTGTAAATCTAAGAAAAAAACAAATATTATTCATAAAATTTGCTCACCCATAATAAAACATAATATAAAATCGAATCTTATGTTCGAGATATTTATAAACGACAAAATGGCATTAAATACGATCTGTGACAATACATAACAAATCATTAGATGGCCGCTCAAATGTTCCCTTAATTCTCTTAACACGGAATATACCAGTATTGTAGCTAATAAAAATAACATCGAAATAAGTGGGGGTAAAAGGAAATTAAATTTTGAAATTTCAGAAGCATATATAAATATTTATTAATTTTTTCTTGGTTTACCATATGTATTAAGGATTATTTTCCAGGCAATTACATTCCATCTGGGACAACTGAATGGTGTTAATACATATTCCGTAGAATCCTTTTCTAAAGGTAGTTGTGAGTTTTCTATAGGTAGTTGTGAGTAACAATAGTCCCAAGTGTTGTGTTCGTAATCATTCCATAGAATAGATAAAATTCCATTCTGGAACAATAATTGAAATAAGATGATAAAAATACTATTTTTGACTACTATACAGAAAAGAACACTATAGACTATAAACTAGACTATAGACCAAACTGCAGACAATACTATAGACTATAGACTATAGTCCAGTCTACAGTTTGGTATTTATATCATCTTGTTTCAATTATATTAGACTATAGACTAGACTATAGAATAGACTATAGACTAGACTAGACTATAGACTATAGACTAGACTATAGACTAGACTAGACTATAGACTAGACTATAGACTAAACTAGACTATAGACTAAACTAGACTATAGACTAAACTAGACTATAGACTAAACTAGACTATAGACTAGACTATAGACTAGACTATAGACTAGACTATAGACTAGACTATAGACTAGACTATAGACTAGACTATAGACTAGACTATAGATTAGACTATAGACTAGACTATAGGACTAGACTATAGACTTAGACTATAGACTAGACTATAGACTATGACTATAGACTAGCCTATAGACTAGACTATAGACTAAACTATAGGCTATACTATAGACCTAGGACTATAGACTAGACTATAGACTAGGACTATAGACTTAGACTATAGACTAGACTATGACCTAGACTATAGACTAGACTAGGACTAGACTATAGACTTAGACTATAGCCTAGACTATAGAATAGACTATAGACTAGACTATAGACTAGACTATTGACTCGGACTAGACTGAACTAGACTAGACTATTAGACTAGACTATAGATCAGACTATAGACTTAGACTATAGACTAGACTATAGACTAGACTATAGACTAGACTATAGACTAGACTATAGACTAGACTATAGGACTAGACTATAGACTCGACCTATAGACTAGACTATTTTTTTTAGCTAGACTATAGACTAGACTTATAGACTAGAAATAGACATGACTATAGACTAGGACTATAGGACTAGACTATAGACTAGACTATATAGACTAGACTATAGACTAGACTATAGACTAGACTATAGACTAGACTATAGACTAGACTATAGACTAGACTATAGACTAGACTATAGACTAGACTATAGACTAGACTATAGACTAGACTATAGACTAGACTATAGACTAGACTATAGACTAGACTATAGACTAGACTATAGACTAGACTATAGACTAGACTATAGACTAGACTATAGACTAGACTATAGACTAGACTATAGACTAGACTATAGACTTGACTATAGACTAGACTATAGACTAGACTATAGATTAGACTATAGACTAGACTATAGACTGGACTATAGACTAGACTATAGACTAGACTATAGAATGGACTATAGACTAGACTATAGACTAGACTATAGACTAGACTATAGACTAGACTATAGACTAGACTATATACTAGACTATAGACTAGACTATAGACTAGACTATAGACTAGACTATATACTAGACTATAGACTAGACTATAGACTAGACTATAGACTAGACTATAGACTAGACTATAGACTAGACTAGACTATAGACTAGACTATAGACTAGACTATAGACTAGACTATAGACTAGACTATAGACTAGAGTATAGACTATACTATAGACTAGACTATAGACTAGACTATAGACTAGACTATAGACTAGACTATAGACTAGACTATAGACTAGACTATAGACTAGACTATAGACTAGACTATAGACTAGACTAGACTATAGACTATAGTTTAGAGTATAGACTAAACTACACTCTATAGACTAGATCCATATATAAAACATCACGGCAAACACAGTAAAATTTTTATAATTTGTTCTTATAAAGTTTATAATCTAAACATACCTCTTTCAAAATCCATTCTTCAAAATTCTGATCCAGTTCCACTGGCCACCGGCAAGGTAATTCCACTTGTGTGGTAAAATGTTTAAATATATCTACAGTTTCAATTTCATAATTTTTTCGTTGTATTGGCAATTTCCATTGAACTTTCATTTTCGGAGTCAAGTTTTCACATTCACTCATATTAAGATACTCATCCATTTCACAACACAATTTAATGCAGGGCTGGTCCTCACTACAAACACAACCTCTTAGATGGCGCGGAACTGTAATCCTTTTCCGCATAAAATCCAAATGATAATCATAGAAATCCTGTTTTTCGGGTGGTATTAAGATACCCTCATACATATATGATCCATTATCGAACTTCTTGTGATTCGTTAAATTTACGGTATTCTCATAGGGACATTTTTCCGGAGAATTTGTGGATGCAACTCCAATTGAAATTTTCAATATTAGGAGAGTCAATAATATTGAAAAATACATTGGAAATAAAATGTTTTTTATTTTAATTTCTGTTCACGATGATATAATATTCTCTTAATGATTCTAGAGACTGATTGTATAATTGAAAGTAATACTTTTATTTGAAAAGTATACATATTTGTAAATAAGTATGTATGTGTGTATATTTTATTTTACTTATTTATATTTTAAAAGAAAGTTGGAACTAAGAAATTTTATTAAGAAAAAAATACCACAACTACCACACAGACGTACAAGTATTAATACATACATACATACATACATACATATCCCAGCAGTTCGACGGGACAGTCCCGAACTGACCACTTAACCTATCACTTGTGGTGGCCCCTAGCCACCTGACTACCCAGGTGACCAACCATTTTAACATGGGCTTGTCCTACGAGGAAGTCAATCGTCACTCTACACCCTACAAAGATACAGTAAAGAGACGATTGCCTCCGCTCTCGCTTACAAAGGGGACACTAAAGTGACGAAACATACGAATTGGAGGTGGTAAGATATTAATGGAACTAAAATTTAAAAATTTCAAGTGTCTACTCTCTAGAATACTATGGGACAATAATGTGACGATTGACCCGAAAGATATAAATTTGAGTCAACAAGATGGTGGCACATAAGTAGAAAGTAACAATCATTTCTCCAAAAGATGGGTAAAATAACTACTTTCAGAAGTACAACAAAAAAAAAGAACTTTTAAGAGTATAATCTCTAGGTTACTTGAGGACAGTAAAGAGACGACTGTCTCCGCTCCCGCTTACAAAGAGGACACTAAAGTGACGACTGTCTTCATTCTCGATTACAAAGGGTACAATCTTGACGAATGACCCAAAACATACGAATTGGTGGTTAACTATTAGTGGAAATTACTGTCTTTTTCGTATGCATTGACTCTTTGTCGTACTGCTGGGGTCTGTATACATACATATGTATGTGTAGACAGGAGTTCTCAAATATAATGTATGGGTACTAAAATTTTAAAGTGGACTTTGTTTGCTCAAAAGAAAGCTCATACTATTTCTTATAACAGCTTTATAGTCGCTTATGGCATGCGAATGGAATATATTCTTCAATAAATCCTCTACTTTTGGAAAGGTTTTATTATAATATTTTATTTCTAATGACGTAAACATACATATTTCTATAATTTTTCAATAAAAGAACAATTTTAATATTTTATATATCATTCATATGGTAAATTTTCATACAATTGAAAAATTACGTATTTTGTGAAGAAATGTGGATTTCAGAGTAGCTATACTATTGTCGAATTTCCACGTATTCTGTAAAATAAATAAATGTTAATTAATTTCTTAAAAAGTAAAACAGATATATTTCGTACCTTTTTATTACTAAATGCCATACTTTTGGTCTCAAAACAAAACATGAAAATACCAAAATACCTTGAACTACATTGATCAGATCTGCAATTGTAGTGAATAAATCACCAGATGAACCTTTTGGTATAAAGTACGATATAATGATAAAGAACCTAGGAATGCCCAGTACTAGTAATAAACGTACAATTATAAGTATACTGTAAAATAGAACATAGACCAGTACTATTTAGAGTTACATATGTTACATTCTGTAGTTTTTAAATTGAACTATATTTCATTACATAGGAAAAATATAATATCTTTAGATGAATTCTTTATTTCTTACTTTTCTTTGAAGATCTTCTGGTTTCGTCTCAATCTGGCGGCATCTCGTCGTGTTTTGTAAAAAATTGTTAAGAAACGAATAAATGCAACTAAATTGAGGAATATAATTAAAAAGGATGGTCCAAACAAATAAAACCATGCTGTCCGGTTGTTAACTGCAATGATATGAGAATGGTTAAATAAAATATGCCAACATATTTTAAAAGTACTCAATTGTGTTATATTTCTAGCCATTATATATTATATTTATGTTAAATACTTACACTGTAACCAGCAAACGATTTCACCAAACCCCGGTTTATAAGTAGCATCTACATTTGATGATAGTTCTAAGAATATACAAACAGCAGTTGCTACTACGGTAATCGGCCAAACGTATAAGGAATATCTCATAAATTTTTTAAAATCTTTTTTTAAATTCGTTTCAACGCTGAGTTTATTAAAATTTTTCCAAAAGTCATAACACATAATAGTCAGCCATAAAATGGAAGATAAATAGGAGAAGTAACTGGCGAAACCTATAAAAAAAAAACAAAAAAAAATATTCTTTTAAAGTCTAACCAGTATAAACTAGACTCTAGACTATACTATAGACTATAAATGAGACAAGACTAGACTAGGCTATTTACTAGACTCTAGTCTAGGCCATAAATTAGAGTATAAAAAAGATTATAGACTAAACTATCGGCAATTGAATAGACAAGATCAGAAAGGAATAGACTAGATACTAGGCTAGACTAGACTATAGACCAGAAAATACACTAAACTATAAACTTTAGACTAGAATATAGATTAGATTATAGAAAAGACTAGAATTGAATAGAATCGAAAGGAATAGACTGGACAAGACTAGACTATATATCAGACTATAGACTGGACTATAAACAAGATTTTAGACTAGACGGAACTAATCTAGACTAGACTATAGACTAGACTATAGACTAGGCTATAGACTAGACTATAGACTAGACTATAGACTAGACTATAGACTAGGCTATAGACTAGGCTATAGACTAGACTATAGACTAGACTATAGACTAGACTATAAACTAGACTATAGACTAGACTATAAACTAGACTATAGACTAGACTATAGACTAGACTATAGACTAGACTATAGACTAGACTATAGACTAGACTATAGACTAGACTATAGACTAGACTATAGACTAGACTATAGACTAGACTATAGACTAGACTATAGACTAGACTATAGACTAGACTATAGACTAGACTATAGACTAGACTATAGACTAGACTATAGACTAGACTATAGACTAGACTATAGACTAGACTATAGACTAGACTATAGACTAGACTATAGACTAGACTATAGACTAGACTATAGACTAGACTATAGACTAGACTATAGACTAGACTATAGACTAGACTATAGACTATACTATCGACTAGACTATAGACTAGACTATAGACTAGACTATAGACTAGACTATAGACTAGACTATAGACTAGACTATAGACTAGACTATAGACTAGACTATAGACTAGACTATAGACTAGACTATAGACTAGACTATAGACTAGACTATAGACTAGACTATAGACTAGACTATAGACTAGACTATAGACTAGACTATAGACTAGACTATAGACTAGACTATAGACTAGACTATAGACTAGACTATAGACTAGACTATAGACTAGACTATAGACTAGACTATAGACTAGACTATAGACTAGACTATAGACTAGACTATAGACTAGACTATAGACTAGACTATAGACTAGACTATAGACTAGACTATAGACTAGACTATAGACTAGACTATAGACTAGACTATAGACTAGACTATAGACTAGACTATAGACTAGACTATAGACTAGACTATAGACTAGACTATAGACTAGACTATAGACTAGACTATAGACTAGACTATAGACTAGACTATAGACTAGACTATAGACAGACATAGACTATACTAGACTATACTATACTAGACTATAGACTAGACTATAGACTAGACTATAGACTAGACTATAGACTAGACTATAGACTAGACTATAGACTAGACTATAGACTAGACTATAGACTAGACTATAGACTAGACATAGACTGACTATAGACTAGACTATAGACTAGACTATAGACTAGACTATAGACTAGACTATAGACTAGACTATAGACTAGACTATAGACTAGACTATAGACTAGACTATAGACTAGACTATAGACTAGACTATAGACTAGACTAGACTATAGACTAGACTAGACTAGACTAGACTAGACGACTAGACTAGACTATACTAGACTAGACTAGACTAGACTAGTCTAGACTAGACTAGACTAGACTAGACTAGACTAGACTAGACTAGACTAGACTAGACTAGACTAGACTAGACTAGACTAGACTATAGACTAGACTAGACTATAGACTAGACTAGACTATAGACTAGACTAGACTAGACTATAGACTAGACTAGACTATAGACTAGACTAGACTAGACTAGACTAGACTAGACTAGACTATAGACTAGACTAGACTATAGACTAGACTAGACTATAGACTAGACTATAGACTAGACTATAGACTAGACTATAGACTAGACTATAGACTAGACTAGACTATAGACTAGACTAGACTAGACTATAGACTAGACTATAGACTAGACTATAGACTAGACTATAGACTAGACTATAGACTAGACTATAGACTAGACTATAGACTAGACTATAGACTAGACTATAGACTAGACTATAGACTAGACTATAGACTAGACTATAGACTAGGACTATAGACTAGACTATAGACTAGACTATAGACTAGACTATAGACTAGACTATAGACTAGACTATAGACTAGACTATAGACTAGACTATAGACTAGACTATAGACTAGACTATAGACTAGACTATAGACTAGACTATAGACTAGACTATAGACTAGACTATAGACTAGACTATAGACTAGACTATAGACTAGACTATAGACTAGACTATAGACTAGACTATAGACTAGACTATAGACTAGACTAGACTATAGACTAGACTATAGACTAGACTATAGACTAGACTATAGACTAGACTATAGGACTAGATATAGACTAGACTAGAGACTATAGACTAGACTATAGACTATAGACTAGACTATAGACTAGACTATAGACTAGACTATAGACTAGTCTATAGACTATATACTATACTATGGACTAGACTATGGACTAGACTATGGACTAGACTATGGACTAGACTATGGACTAGACTATGGACTGGACTATGGACTGGAGTATAGGCTTACACTATTCAATGCTAACTCACCCAAAATATGGCACTGTGTACGATTGAAATTTATAAACGATACTTTTATAAAAGCCACAAGACCAATCATTGTTGCCAACGACACCAAATAGCAGATCAAAAGTTTTCCACTTAGAGTTTCTCTTAATTCTTTTATCAGTGCATATATCAGTATTGTGGGTGTTAAAACTGTTACAGATATTAGGGAGGCTAAAATAAAATAAAGCGATTAAATTTTTACATGCAATTAAAAATAGCTGTAAATTGTATTTATAGCTTACCATACAGATTTAGGAATTTTCTCCAAGTTGGTAATAGACGACATGCGTATGGACTTAATACAGTTTCAGAAGATTCACCGTTTAAATGCGGTGTTAAGCAATATCCGTAAGTGGGGATTGGTGGCATTTGTGATATATTTAAAAAGCCATTCTTGAAATTGAATCAGTAGTTATGTATGTTAATACGTTTACTTTTTTAATATAGAGAACCTTTTCAAGACATCTTACTATATAGATGGAAAATATATTTTATTTAATATTTACCTCTTGCAAACTCCATAAATTTTTATTTTTAACTAGTGCCACGGGTTCCTCACAAATCACACCTACTTGAGGTGTAAAATGTTCTAATATATTCACATGTTTTAATTGGCCATTTTCTAGTAATATTGGTAGTTCCCAACTAACTTTCATTTCCGGCGTCATCTTTTCACATTTACCCATATCGGTTAGAAACTCATCCTTTTCGCAACATAATTTCATACAGAGCTTCATATCGCAAACACAAGCTCTCATATGGACTGGAACTGCTACTTTTAAGGGAAATGATCCTGTAATTTCAAAATTATAGAAATGCTGTCTCTCGGGTGGTATTAGAAAGCCCTCATACAGATATGAGCCATTTTCGTAATGCACATAATTGGTTAAATTTACAGTGTCTTTATAGAGACATTTTATTTTCTTGTTAACGTCAGAGGCAGATGTTGATGGAAGCACGAGGTAAATGTGCCATGTTAGGAGCGCCAGAAATATTGAAAAATCCATTGCAAATTTAATAATTAGTAATTACAGATTAGAAGATAATTTTTTCACAGCGATATAATGTTCTTAAATGATTTCTTATGACTGATTGGAGAATTGAAATTAAGATTTTTATTTGCAAGCAACATTAATAGCTTAGACCACGATATTGCGGAGGGTAATATGCGTTTCTGTTGATGTCGGTAACACTCAAAAATAAAGTGGATTTAACGATGACTGTTGTATTTAGAGTATAGTTTACCATTTTAAATATACTCTTGAAAGATGACTCATGAATTTATTTTGCCTAAAAGACAGAAATCATTCCATGCTTACATCAAACTTCTAATGCAAACGTGATGTGGGAAATGCGCCTGTAGAACGGATCGATCAACACAGCGCTTGTGATTTAAAAGGCTTTTCTAAAACTTTCTAGTTTTTAATTGTTATAGTATTTTTATGTAAACTACTACTATAGTAGATAAAAGCTCTCCATATAGCAGTCTTAGGTTATCATATTATAGAATATACTCGCTGATAGCTTATTATTTTTAATGCATTTTCATATGTATGTATATTTTACAACGTAAATGCATTATTGGAATGCATGTTCTTAAGAGAAAATAAATAACCACAATTACCACATATTTACAATGTTAATAATATTTATATGTCGAAAGGAAAATAAAATTCTATTTCAACTGAACCATATCGCTTATGTATTACAAGGTTGTAATAACTCTCAATTCGTTTTTTTTAAACCAGTGGGATGTTTTTTGGCAGTAAATTCGGAGTTTCGAAACGGCTGGTCTGATCTTGGCGTATTCGATATGTGCATTTTTATACGTTTAACATTTTGTTGTTTTCCACCAGATTCGAAGGATTTTTATATTTTCTGAAAGTGTTCGTCTAGATCTTGCATTTATGTCTGTTATAACTACCAACTTAAAAGAATTTAATATTTAAAAATTGAAAGTATTGTCATGCCTTGGTCTAGTTAGTTAGTTAGCTAGTTAGTTAGTTAGTTAGTTAGTTAGTTAGTTAGTTAGTTAGTTAGTTAGTTAGTTAGGTAGTTAGTTAGTAGTAGTTAGTTAGTTAGTAGTTAGTTAGTTAGTTAGTTAGTTAGTAGTTAGTTAGTTAGTTAGTTAGTTAGTAGTTAGTTAGTTAGTTAGTTAGATAGTTAGTTAGTTAGTTAGTTAGTTAGTTAGTTAGTTAGTTAGTTAGTTAGTTAGTTAGTTAGTTAGTTAGTTAGTTAGTTAGTTAGTTAGTTAGTTAGTTAGTTAGTTAGTTAGTTAGTTAGTTAGTTAGTTAGTTAGTTAGTTAGTTAGTTAGTTAGTTAGTTAGTTAGTTAGTTAGTTAGTTAGTTAGTTAGTTAGTTAGTTAGTTAGTTAGTTAGTTAGTTAGTTAGTTAGTTAGTTAGTTAGTTAGTTAGTTAGTAGTTAGTTAGTTAGTTAGTTAGTAGTTAGTTAGTTAGTTAGTTAGTTAGTTAGTTAGTTAGTTAGTTAGTTAGTTAGTTAGTTAGTTAGTTAGTTAGTTAGTTAGTTAGTTAGTTAGTTAGTTAGTTAGTTAGTTAGTTAGTTAGTTAGTTAGTTAGTTAGTAGTTAGTTAGTTAGTTAGTTAGTTAGTTAGTTAGTTAGTTAGTTAGTTAGTTAGTTAGTTAGTTAGTTAGTTAGTTAGTTAGTTAGTTAGTTAGTTAGTTAGTTAGTTAGTTAGTTAGTTAGTTAGTTAGTTAGTTAGTTAGTTAGTTAGTTAGTTAGTTAGTTAGTAGTAGTTAGTTAGTTAGTAGTTAGTTAGTTAGTTAGTTAGTTAGTTAGTTAGTTAGTTAGTTAGTTAGTTAGTTAGTTAGTTAGTTAGTTAGTTAGTTAGTTAGTTAGTTAGTTAGTTAGTTAGTAGTTAGTTAGTTAGTTAGTTAGTTAGTTAGTTAGTTAGTTAGTTAGTTAGTTAGTAGTTAGTTAGTTAGTTAGTTAGTTAGTTAGTTAGTAGTTAGTTAGTTAGTTAGTTAGTTAGTTAGTTAGTTAGTTAGTTAGTTAGTTAGTTAAATTGAAAAAAAAATTGGGATTTTCATTTCGGGATTCTTAGATTAGATTTTTTATTTAGAAGAACTAATAAAAAATATCATTGAGTTTCGTTAAATTTAAATATTATAAATTTGCCAATAATGGGGATTATCTGACCCATATTAATACCAAACTAAATTCTTTTATTTAGAAAAGTTGATTATCTATCTTGCAAAAACCATGTTCAGTAATTAACTTTATAAGGTTCCAAAATATACCACTTAGAATATTCACCCATTAAGAAATTTTGAATTTTTTAAAATTTTACTTTGTGCTACACTTTTTTCCACATTAAAGAACTAAGTAATTCAAAATTAGCCGCATATGATGATTTATTGGCGTAAAATTCGACATTTTCAAAGCAAATAAAACGTTCTTTGAAGATCTAATGCCTGACTGTTGCCTGCCTGGAACTAGAATTTTGCGATTTTGACAAAACTGTGGTAGATGTTGAGATACTCCTTCGAGTCTTGGCCTTGTGGTTCCTGCAAAATCTTTAAAGAAAAATATATTTATTTATTTTTATAATCCACGAAATATAAGAATCTTTTCTTACCTTTTTTTCAATAAATCCAAAACATTTGCCTTCAATACAAATAGTGAAAAAATTAAAATACCTTGAATTGCATTAAGAAAATCGGAGATGGCAAATGCAAACATCCATTTTTCGGTATCAGGCAGACAATATGATATAACATCAAAGAGCCAGGAAATGCCCATTATTAGATATAAACGAAAAATGACAATAGCACTAAGGGGAAAAGAAACAAAAAATGGATTTAATGCTATGGATCATATATTTATTAGATGTTGCTATAATACTCACTTTTCTTCAATGAATTTTTCTCTATGCGTCATATTTGCAATATCGGAACGGATTTTACAGATTCTTGCAGTTAAATGGACAAAAGTGACTAAATTAAACAGTAAAATCACTAGAGTGGGACCATAGAAGTAAATTGCGGCCGACCAACTTTGTGCTGTAATTATATCATAACCCCAATGAAGTAAATGCTTCGATCGTGTAAACTATATGTTCCATACTTACTATCCAACCAACACTTTTGATTACCAATGCCCGGCTTATAAAGATCATTCACACTCGTCGAAAGTTGTATAAAAATACAAACACCCGTGGCGAAACCAGCACCTAGCCAAACATATAGGGAATAGAAAATAAATTCCTTAACGCTCTTTTTTGAGTTCAGTTCTAAATAAGAGGTTTCTTTGAAATTTTTCCAAATGTCAAAACATAAAACGTTTAGCCATAAAAAGGCAGCCACTAGGAAAAAATAGCAAGTATAACCTTAAATGAAATAATAATTTATTATTAGAAAAATTAATAAATATTTATGATATAAAAGTAAAACCTACCCAAAATATTACAACCGTATACATCAAATTGTAACTCCGAAATATTTATAAGGGCAATGATAATATAACCAACGGCCAGTGATAGAATATAACAGATCAAAAGTTTACCGCGCAAATTACCCCGCAATTCTTTTAGTGATAAATACACCACTATGGTGGGTATTAAAAATAATACCGATATTGCCATGGCTATAAAAAGAATTAGAGAATTTGAAGAAGTCTCTTCAAAATTATTATGATTCATGATATATAATTCGAAGAAGTAAAACTTAGATTTAAAAAACAACCGACCAAAACAGATTAAAGCCGTAGAACAATCCACTGATCTTATTGCTCGAATTGAAATTAAAGAAATGTTGTCAGAAAAGTAAAATTCTCCGAAACTTACTCCGTTCTCATATGCAGCTGATACAACTAAGTTCAAAAAATGGAAAATTTTTAATAGATGTTGCAGAAGCCATTCCACTTTAATTTAAAATGGAAATTTGATCAATCGAAAAGCCTGTATTTATTCAAACGTCAGATAAATCCCCGATTTAGAGTCAGCTTTTTCAAAACTCATAAGATGATACTCAACAGCAAAGGCGAAGATTTGACTAAATGTATTACAGGCATTACGTTGACTTATGAAAGACAGAATGTAGAAGCCCAGGGTTTACAGCTTAAGGTTTCGAGATATATTAAGGTAAAGTTGTCAGAGGCAACGTTATAGTGGGGAGTGTATTATGCATTTATGCTGATGTTTATAACACATCGAAATATTGGTCTACACCGACCTTAAAGTATAACGTCCGTCTGTTTGTGTATCCATGTAAACCTTATGCGCGCCCTATAGGTCGCATTTTTCAAGATAATTTTCAACAAGGAGGAAAATAGGTCCATTATTTCACCCAGTCCCCATTCAACTAAACCTCCCAATTAGTTCTTTTGAGCTCATAGTCATACTGCTATAACGGAAAAACGATTTTAATAAAGAATCAGAAGCACTTCCTAGAGTTAGGACCATAGAATAGACCGTGGGAACTTCCGATTTGGGGTCTTTAGCTCCCAACTATGTTATATCTCTTCCAAAATTGGCATAACTAAATAATTTTTATATAAGGGCAATTTCGTGTCAAGTGATCCAACTCGAAAAAATGTATTTGGATGAAATTTACACCAAGGTTAGTACTATTGGTAGGCTAGATACAAATTTTTAGCTCTATCGGTCAAGAACTGCCGGAGTTATAGAGAGTCACTTCATTTCCCCCTTTTATTTCAAAATTCGTTTGAGTCTGACCTACTATCCAAAAGTACTAACCTACAAATCGTAAAACATCGATTTTAAAAGTTGGATCACTTGACACAAAATTGCCCATAAGCCGAATTTCGTGATGATCGGGCCGCATTTAACCTTTAGAAAAAGAAACTTCCGTATTTGACTTGTAACCATTATTATCCAAATTTTATGAGGATCGGCCTATAGTTGACCCAGTTTTTCATCAATAAATTGTTAAAATATATCGGAATTAGGATAAAACTCAACATAATAGAAGAATAGAAAAATTTTTAACCAAATTATATGAGGATAGGACTTTATATATTTAACCCAAGTCCCATATATAAAGCCTATTTGAGAAAATTTGCTTAATTAAATATATCTATATGTATTAAGGTAAAATTCAACATAACAGTTTTTTTTAAAGTATAATTTTAGGGTATCATATGGCCGGCAATGACCTAGGAGCAATATTTCAACAGAATCAATAATCTATAATTTCCTTTGATTTTAATAGTGACTTTTGACTTACCATATGAAATAACTCGTTGCTTCCAGGAAGGAATATTTTTAACCGGACATGTGTAGGGTGTTAATATGTACTCCATGGTGGTCGTATTTAAGAGTGGTGAATAACAATATTGTAATGTATCGTAATATGAATTATCATATGATACAAATAGGGTTCCATTCTAGAATAAATAAATAATTAAAAGTGTATGAACAACTTTTTCTAATTATATTAAAAATTGAGTCCATCTAGACGATACGTGTAAACATTGTAAAACAAACTTAGATGATCAATCACGTCCGATATTGCAATTATAATTTTCTTCTACTATAACTTACCTCAAATAACATCCATTTATCCAGCATAAAATCCAATTCCTCCGGTTCTCGACAGGGCAAACCAACTTGAGGAGTAAAATGTTTAAAAATATTTACTTTTTCGATGTTTTCACTTTTCCGTTGTATAGCTACATCCCAAGACACCTTCATGTCTTGAGATAATTTTTTACATTTTCCCATATTTTGACTGAAATCGAAATATTCCCAATCTTCACAACACAATTTCAGACAAGGACGTTTCTCACAAACACAACCTCTTAAATGACGCTGTACCGATTTCTTAGTTTTTTGAAAATTCAAATGATAATCATAGTAATGTTGTTTTTCGGGTGGTATCAAAATATCTCTATAGAGATAAGTGCCATTTTCGTAACGGCGATAATGTTTTAGATTTACTGTATTTTTATACGGACATTGTCCAGTTTGATTGTACTCCTTGAAAGCCGATACAAATGGAACTTTAATAAAAAGTTGCCATGTTACAAGTGCCAAGAATAATTTAAAACCCATATTTCGTTATTCTAATACATATCGTACGTTATTGTTTTCTCAAATGATTTTATAAGACTGATTTCAGAATTTGCTTTTGCAGCATAAGGTTTTCTTATTTGTTTATAAATTAAAAGTAACAATTAAAAAAAATCCCTGAGGAACAATAAAATACCACAATTACCGCAGACGTAACGTGTGTACTCTTTTAGAAACATACTAGCGTTGTGTTCACATTGAACAAATATTTGATGAAAAGAGCCTAACCAATGTTTTAGGAAATGTTAAGTAGAACTGTTTTGAGTCAATAACACGATTTGATATATAGTATGTACATATGCAATGTTTAAGAAAATCGAAATTTCGGTTTTGTTGTAACTATAATTTTGACTTCATATATTTCATTAATGTGAACGCTCTTACTTGTTAGTAGTTGTTCATAAATTATTTCTCAAAATTTTACCCAAAGTAGATTTATGGTCTGATACTTAGTTAGAAAATGTCATGATATGTGGGACTTAATTCTTTTTAAATTTTCGAATTATTTTTTTTTAAGAAAATGTGATAAAATTTAAGAGAATTTTACGGTTGACTGTTTATGAGTTCTCATTGCAAAATAACTGAAACCACTTTAATATCTGATAAATAGTTGAATTGAAAATATATACATACATATATATATTTTTTTTTTCATTTAAAACCACAAAATACGTACTTTAGTAATGAGAGTATTGAAAAAATCGCGTTCGTTTGGGTCCATTCTTTAAACTGCTCAAATTTTTGAGTTCTATTGTTATTTATCATTGTTATTAAGACCTTTAAGACTTTGCATGTCCGACTACTATATATGTATGTATGTATTAGTACTGTACTGCTCTGCTTGAATGTTTTAAAATGTTTTTCCATCGAATCATTAATTGCGATGAAAAATGGATCTATTACGATAACCCATATCATAAGAGATCGTATATAAAGATGGGACAAACAACCGAATGGACAATAAAGCTATGGCGCTATGGTAATGTTTTAGAAAAATGGGACCTTTCTTGACGGCCTTATTTCACGATGGTCTTTTTCATCTACTGGGTAGACTTTAGAGCGGTCTATCAAGCGCCTCCTGTCTTGACGGTCTATCAATCGCCTCCGAGTGACTTCGATGAAGAACACTTAGGTGGCAACTTTTATACATGGCTCCATTTACAAGCACTTTGCTGAAACACTCGAGCTATCTAATATCTTGCTAAGTGATCACGTTGCGGTATGACAACTTGCATTAATACTACCCCGATAGCCCAAAGCCCTGACGCACCGAGATGGACCATCAGGTATAAGCATTGTCATAAGCGTCCCCATTCTTTAACGGACAATACTACCCCGACAGGCGTAGAAGCGCCGGTCGAATCTGAAAAGAGGGATAACGAAGAACCAATTAACGCACCTAGATGGACCATCAGGTATAAGCATTGTCATGAGCGTCGCCATTCTTTAACTATCCGCTCAGATAGATTTCTCGTCTCTCAGTAGCACAACCACATTACAAGGCTCTGTTGCTTCGTCAACAGCACCTAGAGACGTATTTGGTAGTCCGAAATACCCAGCCAGGATCTCTCTGTATGTCAAGATAATGTTACAAATGATGTTGGAATTTCCAAAGTTAATCGATCTACTTAATCAGTACTAGTCTCCTGTCGAACAGAACGGTCTTTTCCGATCGTTCACCAACTTACATCAGTTCCATTCTCAGACTGTAAAGAACGATCTACGGAATGACATGCAATTACCAAAAAATTCCCAAACCTATACTGGCGCCCTACTACGCGAAAAATAAAAGATACTCAAGGGGTTCAGGAATCCAGAATGAGTTGCTTTGTCACATCACCCAGTGATATCTGTTGAGATGACAAGTACACCGTAGAGAGAATCCAGACATATATAGCATTTGGATATATCAGTCCTTAAACCAACATTCTCTCCCCGCGAATTTGGGTATAAACCACAGCCGTGAATCCCGAAGGAAGCTCAACCAACTGACCAGCCAGAAAAAAGACCTGCGGGCAACTAGCCAGATTCAATTGTATGTTAAGTCATTCCAAGAAGAGACCTAGGATACATTTGATCATCACCAGATGTATTGGTAACACCCCTATAAGCCGGAATTGCTATCCACCAAGATGGGATATATCATCAAAAAAACATGACCCGTGGGTGGGGAGGAGCAAAGGGGACATATGTATATTATGAACTGCTGAGAACTGGGCATCACAGGGAACAAGTACCGAATGCAAATAATTCGTTTGAAGCTAACATTAGCCGAAAAACGGCTGGATAACTCTCACATCTTGCTATATATGTAAAAAAAAAAACTATTTAGAAAGAAGTAGTTGGGAAGTTTGCCTTACATTCCATACTTGGACACTATTTTTTCGATCGTTAGAGAACGATCACTTTGGAACAAGCTTCATTTCAGAATAGGATATACGAAATTTCTTTAATCTGATGTCTGGCTCAAATGATGAGCAATTTTCTTGACTCGGAATCCATATGTTGTCAAAAAGATGGGAGTGGTTCATAACTATCAAGAGCCAAAATATTGAGTAAATTTATATTGTAAAATGGTTTCAAAATAAAAGCTAAAAAGACCCAAATTTTTAAGTTATAAGTCCAATAATAAATGCTAAGTTTTATTTTAAATAAAATTTTAATTTCTATATAATAACCATAACATATAATTTTATAAATACTATTTATAAAATTTAGAATTCTGGCGGATTTAAATCGCAACATTTGCTTGAATGTTATGTAAATTTTGCAATACCAAGCAATCTGTAGGAGAGAATGTGGGAAGACATCTAAAAAATAGCAAATCAAAATGTTATACTTATTTCTTTCATTAAATGTTTCAATTGTCAAGAACTTACTTGAGTCTTATCAGATTTAAAATATTTCGTTTCAGAACAAATAACACAAATATTAAACAACCTTGAATGGCATTTATAAAATCAGTGAAAGCAAAATAAAGTTGATAATTATCCTCCATTCTGTTCGATGTGAAACAATAAGATAAAACATCAAAGATCCAGGAAATACCCATTAATAGGTATAAACGATAAATGACTATAACACTGTGGAGGAAGGATTTATCTTAATTAAATATTTTGAAATTTTAATTGAATATTGAAATTGCCTTAAACTTACTTCTCCCGAAATAGTTTTTCTTTATTTGTAAGTTTTGCCGCATCATAACGCACTTTACAGATTTTTATCGCTACACGGAAAAATGTGACCAAATTAAGTAGTAAAATAACAAAAGTGGGTCCATAAAAGTAGATAGCAGCAGACCATCTCTCAGCTATAAGGAGAATAGAGCGATTTTAAATGTTAATTCTATAGCTAATACTTACTGTTCAGCCAACACCTTTCCTTATCAATGCCCGGCTTATAAAGATCATCCAAATTCGTTAACTGTTCTACGAAAACACTAACCACAGTTGCTAGACCCGCAATCAGCCACACATAAAGGGAATAACACAAGAATTGCCTAGAATCTTCTTCAGAATTGAACTCAATATTATTAGTTTCATTTATATTCTTCCAAATATCATAACACAAAATGTTCAACCATAAAAAGGCAGCCATTAGGAAAAAATAACAGGTAAAACCTTAAACATCATATAATCGTTAAATCTGTATAACATTTATCTTAAAAATATAATCAAAACTTACCTAAAAGGCTGCACAATATAAGATCAAATTGTATACCGGAAATATTAATAAAGCTAATAATGATATAGCCCATGGTTAGTGAGATAAGATATGATATCATTAGTTTACCACTTAACGTTTGCCTCAATTCTTTTAGCAATAAATACACCACTATGGTGAGTATTAAAAATAATACCGATGCAATCATGGCTAAAATAATATATAAACTATATTGGATTATCTCTTTGATTTCGATAAGTTGAGTGAAATAAATGTGACTCTAGATATGTATAATAAGCCGATTGTCAGGACTCTGAAGTTTAAAAATGTATTTTCGATATTATTTAAATTTTTGCTGTAATTCGGAAACAGTACTAACTATATATATTCATTATAAACGAGTTGATTTACTAGTTTGTGGGCTAGTCCATGTGGGCGTGTCCATTGTCTAATCTATGGAGTTGTCTTCGGACTAATCTATTTATGAATTAGATAAGTGTTTTATCTAGTATGTTAACTATGTAGTCTATGGACTCGTAACTTTACTATTCCGTAGTCTGTTGACAAGTCTATGGACTAGTCTAAGACTATTAGATGGACAAGTCTATTGACTAGTCTTTTAATTATTCTATGGGCTAGTCTATGAACTCATATATTGACTAATCTATGAATTCATGTATTGACTAATTTAATGATTATTTTATTGACTATTCTATGAACTAGTCAGTTGACTAATCTATAAACGGTTTTCTAGTTTATAATCAGACTACTTCATGGAAAAGCCTGTTGACAAGTTTATGGACCAGTAGATTGACTAGTTTAAAGAGTAGTTTATTGACTATCCTATGATTTAGCCTATTTAGTAGTTTATTGACTATTCTATGTATTAGTCTATTTACTGTTCTATGAACAACTGTATGGAGTATAGACTTCTCAGTTGACTCCCTTATTGAATAGTTTATATAGTTATTTATTGACTAGTCTATGAGTTATTCTGTTGACAACTCCATATACTAGTCTATTGACTATTCTACGGACTAATCTATGAATTAGTATGTTGGCAAGTCTATGGACTAGTTTATAAAATAGTCGACTAGTCTATGGAATAGTCTTTTAATTAGTCCATGGATGAGACTCTTAACCAGCCTATGGACTTGTTTATGGAATGGTGTATTGAATAGCCTATAGATAAGCCTCTTGAGAAGTCTATAGACTAGTCTAGTGATCAATTTAACGAGTGTTTTATGAACTAGTCTGTTGACTAACGAATGTGCAACTCAATGGACTCGACTATTGACTAGTTCATAGATTATTTTACGGAAAAGTCTGATGAATAGTTTAAGAAGTAGTTTATTGACTATTCTGGGGATTAATCTATTTACTATTCTATGAACAACAGTATGGAGTAGTATATGAACTTTTCAGTTGACTTGTTTATGCAGTTGTTTATTTTACGGACTAGACTATGAATTGATCTTTTGAATAATCTATGAACTAACATGTGAAATAGCATATGTACCTACTACTGAGTGGACTTATCTATAGGCTAGTTTTTGGTAAGTTTTTGGACAAGTCTATTGACTAGTTTAAGGAGTAGTTTATTGACAATCCTATGCATAAGTCTATTAACTAGGCTATGGACTAATTTGAAGTGTAGTTTCTGGAATATCATATGGATTAGTCTATTGACTAGCATATGAACAACTTAGTGTAGTATATGAACTATAATGGAGTAGAGTTTTGACTAATCAAAGGCGCATTTATAGAGGTGTATGTGAGCAAACAGCTGAATATGTTGATGTGTTCTCTACCTGTTTGCTGTCATACTCCATTTTAAATACAATTTGACAGTATATACCTGATTAAATGTACCTTGGACTAGTCTTATACTGATCTATTAACTAACCTATAGGTCAGTTTATTACCTATTGATTAGTCTTCGGATTGATCTATTAATTCCTTTATGGACTATTTAGCAAAAGCATTATATTTAAAATACAATTAGACGGTAAGCAGATTTCTCTCGAATGCATACACCTGATTAAATGTACCTTGAACCAGTCTTATACTGATTTATTAACTAACCTATGGGTCAAAGTATTAACTATTGATTATTCTTCAGACTGCACTATATGAGTTAATAAATGGACTATTGACTATTTACCAAAGGTACTGATTTTTACATGTCTGATTTATCTTGGTGTCACATTTCAAAACACATCTCTACGATATCGGATATCGAATTTTTCTTACCATAAGAATTTACCAGTATTAGCACTGATCCTTCATATTTATTCTCACATATGTATGGTGTTAATATATATTGTTTAGAACTGGCATTTAGCAATGGAGAATAACAATAGTCCATTGTGGAATATGTTAAATTATTCATCTGAATATGTAGTAGGCGATCCTAACAAAATAACATAATTGAAATATATCTACATCCATCAATAACCCATTTTCTAACCCTACTCACCTGATACCATATCCCCTTGTCCTGAGTTAGATTTAATGCTTTCGGCTGACGACAGGGTAAACCTACTTGAGTGGTGAAGTATTTGTAAACTTGTAGCTCCTTTTTAAAATTATTTTTATCCGTTAATTTCACCATCAAAGACATTTTAACATCTAACGGATTCAGTTTTACACACTTTACAATATTTTTGTTAATACTTAAATATTCATTTCTTTCGCAACACATATTTATGCAGGCTTTTCTCTCACAAACACAACCTCTCGGATGGGGACGAACTGATTTCTTGATTTTTGAATATTTCATATAATAATTATATAATTTTTGCTTTTCGATTGGTATTAAAATATCTTCATATAGATATGAACCGTTTTCGAAACGTTGGTGATTTGTTAAATTTACAGTATTTTGATAGGGACAACTTTCTGCTATGTCATTGTTAAGCGCTTTTATGGGTGAAAATCGTATAAAAATTTGACATAAAACGATTGTCTGGATTATTAGGAGATACATTTCAATTCAGAAATGTTAATTTTAGTTAACTTTTTATATTACTTTCTCTATCGATTATGGTTGTAAGACTAATGAAGAAACTTTAAATGTTACTTGCATTATTACATATACGTATATACCCCACATCATCAGAGGAACGATATAACCACAATATATAATCAGCTGTTAATCAGAGATGATTTTTCAGACATGGACTTATGAATAATGATTGGAATGTTTTAACTGAATGATTTTATCTGCGGCAAATTCTTTATGCATATATTATACCCTACACCACTTTAGTGGTTAGGAAATTTATGGTCCTCTACCTACCTTAAAGTATATCAATCGGCTCAGAATCTGTAAATGAGCAAATTTGAAGAGAATTCGCTGAAATTTGATACAAGTACTACTTTTGGTCCAAGGATGAACGCAATCAGTTTTTCATTAATAAATTCCTAAAATATATCTAAATTAAATTCATAATGGTTTTCGGAAGGCTTCCGTATATATAGACTTAGTTTTTAGAATCATGACCTCATACAACCGGATCCACGAAATAGAGCACCTTATTGATCATAGCCCCTTCCGTATATGAGGATTTTTTCTGACTCAAAAGTCGATTCCTTTAAATCATCTCTGATATATATCTTTACATATTGATGTAGTGCAAGCGGGATTCTTAGAAACATCAGTTTAAAATATATTCTTAATGCGATTTGTAGAATTCCTGTATTTCTATCTATTGATGCATTTCTCTGAAAGAAAGTATAAATTCTGAATGTAAAAATAATAGGATTACTATATTTTATATTTATAAAAAAGAGAAAACCACAAACATTTAATTCATTTAACAGGTAAAATAATATGATGACGTTACATAAATAATTCAATCGAATTTAGCATAAATCTAATAAAAGCATAGATTCATAAAGCCCTAAGTGCATATATGTATACGATCACCTACCGAAATTTAAAAATTTACAACACATGCTGCTGGTGATCGTGAAGATACCGAATATCTGTATATAACACATTTACTTCCTAATATTATATTGTGATTTTTCACCAAGAGCGTAAATCAAGGCTTCACTGTAATTGAAAATAATTCTCGCCTAAAATAACTTTAGTTAAGTATTTTAATAACATAATATTTATGCTTAAAAGTATGCTATCTTAATTGTTAAAATTATTATTTGCTCCAAATAAGAAATTAGTGATCACTACTATTTTGCAACAAAAAAAAACGTATTCTCGTATTTCTCATCAAAAATCGATTTTAAACGGCTGTAAATCCTTAAATAACGCTTCAATTGAGAAAACAGTGAAAATCTGTGATCACTCATATATTTCACCAAAAATCGATTTTTTGATGAAAAATCTTAAATCGGCTGTAAAACCTTAAATAACGCTCCAATTGACAAAATAGTGAAAATCTGTGATCACTCATGTTTCCCACCAAAAATCGATTTTTTTACCTTAATATACGCTTTTTTACCTTAAATAACGCTTCAATTGAGAAAACAGAGAAAATCTGTGATCACTCATATTTCTCACTAATAATTGATTTTTTGATCTTAAATCTTAAATCGGCTGTAAACCTTAAATAACACTCCAATTGAGAAAACTGTGAAAATCTGTGATCACTCATGTTTCCCACAAAAAATCGATTTTTTAATGAAAAATCTTAAATCGGTTGTAAACCCTTAAATAATGCTTCAATTGAGAAAGTAGTGAAAATCTGTGATCACTCATATTTGTCATCAAAAATCGATTTTTTTATGAAAAATCTTAAATCGGTTGTAAAACCTTAAATAACGCTCCAATTGAGAAAATAGTGAAAATCTGTGATCACTCATGCTTCCAAACAAAAATCGCTTTTTGATGAAAAATCGGCTGTAAATCCTTAAATATCGTTCCAATTGAGAAAATAGTGAAAATCTGTGATCACTCATATTTCTCACCAAAAATCGATTTTTTATGAAAAATCTTAAATCGACTGTAAAACTTTAAATAACGCTCCAATTGAGAAAACAGTGAAAATCTGTGATCACTCGTATTTCTCACTAAATATCGATTTTTTTATGAAAAATCTTAAATCGGCTGTAAAACCTTAAATAACGCTCCTATTGAGAAAACAGTGAAAATCTGTGATCACTCATATATTTCACCAAAAATCGATTATTTTACGATAAATCTTAAATCGGCTGTAAATCCTTAAACAACGCTCCAATTGAGAAAATATTGAAATTCTGTGATCACTCATATTTCTCAATAAAAATCGATTTTTTAATGAAAAATCTTAAAATGGCTGTAAAACCCTAAATAACGCTCTAATTGAGAAAATAGTGAAATTCTGTGATCACTCATATTACTCACCAAAAATCGATTTGTATATGAAAAATCTAAAATCGGCTGTAAATCCTTAAATAACACTCCAATTGAGAAAATAGTGAAAATCTGTCATCACTCATATATTTCACTAAAAATCGATTTTTTATGAAAAATCTTAAATCAGCTGTAAAACCTTAAATAACACTCCAATTGAGAAAATAGAGAAAATCTGTGATCACTCGTACTTCTCACTAAAAATCGATTTTTTGATGAAAAATCCTAAATCGCCTGCAGATCTTTAAATAACGCTCCAATTGAGAAAATAGTGAAAATCTGTGATCGCTCGTATTTCTCATTAAAAATCTTTTTTTTTTAAAAAAATTAGTGAAATTAATGAGAAATACGAGAAATACGAGAAAAGAATGAAAATCTGTGATCACTCGTATTTCTTACTATAAATCGATTTTTTGAATGAAAATCTTAAATCGACTGTAAAACCTTAAATAACGCTCCAATTAAGCAAATAGTGAAAATCTGTGATCACTCGTATTTCTCACAAAAAATTGATTCTATGAAATATCTTAAATCGGTTGTAAAACCTTAAATATCATTCCAATTGAGAAAATAGTGAAAATCTGTGATCACTCATATTACTCACCAAAAATCGATTTTTATATGAAAAATCTAAAATCGGCTGTAAAACCATAAATAACGCTCCAATTGAGAAAACAGTGAAAATCTGTGATCACTCGTATTTCTCACTAAAATTCGATTTTTTGATGAAAAATCTTAAATCGACTGTAAAACCTTAAATAACGCTCCAATTGAGAAAATAGTGAAAATCTGTGATCACTCGTATTTCTCACTAAAAATCGATTTTTTTTTTTTTGTGAAAAATCTTAAATCGGCTGTAAAACCTTAAATAACGCTCCAATTGAGAAAATAGTGAAAATCTGAGATCACTCATATTTCTCACTAAAAAACGATTTTTTATGAAAAATCTTGAATCCTTAAGAAAACTGTGAAAATCTGTGATCACTCTTATTTTGTATTAAAAAACGATTTTTTGATGAAAAATCTTAAATCCGCTGTAAATTCTTAAATAACGGTCCAATTGAGAAAATAGTGAAAATCCGTGATCACTTGTATTTCTAACTAACTATTTCTCACTAAAAATTGATTTTTTGATGAAAAATTTTAAATCGGCTGTAAAACCTTAAATAAAGCTCCAATTTAGAAAATAGTGAAAATCTGTGATCACTCGTATTTCCCATTAAAAATTAATTTTTTATGAAAAATCTTAAATTGGCTGTAAAACCTTAAATAACGCTGCAATTGAGAAAATAGTGAAATTCTGTGATCACTCATATTTCCCATTCACCTTACCTTAAATAATGCTCCAATTGAGAAAATAGTGAAATTCTGTGATCACTCATATTACTCACCAAAAATCGATTTTTATATGAAAAATCTAAAATCGGCTGTAAATCCTTAAATAACGCTCCAATTAAGAAAACAGTTAAAATCTGTGATCAGTCGTATTTCTCACTAAAAATATACTTTTTGTTGAAAAATCTTAAATTAGCAGGAAATCCTTAAATAACGCTCCTATTGATGAAACAGTCAAAATCTTTGATTAGTCATATTTCTCATTGAAAATCGATTTTTTAATGAAAAATCTAAAATCGGCTGTAAATCCTTAAATAACGCTCCAATTGAGAAAACAGTGAAAATCTGTGATCACTCATATATTTCACTAAAAATCGATTTTTTGATGAAAAATCTTGAATCGGCTGTAAGTCCTTAAATAACGCTCCTTTTGAGAAAACAGTGAAAATCTGTGATCACTAGTAATTCTTAATTAAAATCGACTTTTTGATGAAAAATCTTAAAGCGGCTGTAAAACCATATATAACGCTCCAATTAATCTTTAAATAACGCTCCAATTGAGAAAATAGTGAAAATATGTGATCACTCGTATTTCTCACTAAAAATCGATTTTTTTATGAAAATTCTTAAATCGGCTGTAAATCCTTAAATAACGCTCCAATTAAGAAAATAGTTAAAATCTGTGATCACTCGTATTTCTCACTAAAAATAGACTTTTTGATGAAAAATCTTAAATTAGCTGTAAATCCTTAAATATCGTTCCAGTTGAGAAAATAGTGAAAATCTGTGATCACTCATATTTCTCACTAAAAATCGATTTTTTGATGAAAAATCTTAAATCGGCTATAAATCCTTAAATAACGCTCCAATTGATAAAACAGTGAAAATCTGTGATCACTCATATTTCTCACTAAAAATCGATTTTTTGATGAAAAATCTTAAATCGGCTATAAATCCTTAAATAACGCTCCAATTGATAAAAAAGTGAAAATCTGTGATCACTCATATTTCTCACTAAAAATCTATTTTTATATGAAAAATCTTAAATCGGCTGTAAGACCTTAAATAACGCTCCAATTGAGAAAATAGTGAAAATCTGTGATTACTCATGTTTCCAACAAAAAATCGCTTTTGTGATGAAAAATCTTAAATCGGCTATAAATCCTTAAATAACGCTCCAATTGATAAAACAGTGAAAATCTGTGATCACTCATATTTCTCACCAAAAATCGATTTTTTTTTATGAAAAATCTTAAATCGGCTGTAAAACCTTAAATAACGCACCAATTTTTTGATGAAAAATCCTTAATCGGCTGTAAATCCTTAAATAACGCTCCAATTGAGA